GATTGCCAAAATTGGGTCAGTTCGTGTTCTGATTTCTCTTGCTGCTATGTTTGATTGGCCCTTGTTTCAGCTTGACATCAAGAATGCTTTTTTACATGGTGATCTTCTTGAGGAGGTGTACATGGAGCAACCACCAGGGTTTGTTGCTCAGGGGGAGGGTGAGAAGGTGTGTAGACTTAAGAAGGCTATTTATAGACTTGAACAATCTCCCCGTGCATGGTTTGGGAGATTTAGTGAAGTGGTGAAGAAGTTTGGAATGAAACAGTGTCAGGTTGACTATTCCGTATTCAGCTATGAATCAAATGCCGGGAATATTCTCTTGGTGGTATATGTAGATGACATTGTTATCACAGGCGGTGACAGACCAAGAATTGACAGGTTGAAGACTTACTTGCATGATCACTTCCAGACAAAGAATCTTGGCAAATTAAGATACTTCCTAGGGATAGAGGTTGTGATGTCCAAGAATGGTATTAATCTGTGCCAGAGGAAATATGTTCTTGATCTACTAGAAGAAACAGGGTTGTTGGGTGCCAGACCAGCTGAAACACCTATGGAATTGAATGTTAAATTGGGTAATGATACAGGTGAGGAGTTTGAGGATCCGGGAAGGTACAGAAGGTTGGTGGGTAAGCTTAATTACCTAACCATCACTCGACCTAATATCTCATTTGCGGTCAGTGTAGTGAGTCACTTTATGCAGAACCCTTGAATCCCACACTAGGAGGCAGTCCTAAGGATTGTGAGGTATTTGAAGGGTGCTCTAGGTCGTGGTTTGTTGCATTGGAGTGGAGAAAGTCTTGAGATAGAGGGATACATGGATGCTGATTGGGTCGGGTCCATATCTAACAGAAGGTCCACTATAGGGTATTGCACTTTTCTTGGTGGGAACTTAGTGACATGGAAAAGTAAGAAGCAGACAGTGGTAGCAAGCAATGCAGAGGCTGAATATAGGGCTATGGCACACACAACATGCGAACTAGTGTGGTTGAAGCATCTACTAGAGGAGATGGGATACTCGATTGACACTCCTATGAAGTTATACTGTGATAATCAAGTTGCAGTTCATATCTCCTCTAATCCAGTGTTTCATGAAAGGATGAAGCACATAAAAGTGGATTGCCACTTTGTACGTGAGAAGGTGCTTAGTGGAGTGATAAGTATAGCATATGTGAATACAGGAAATCAATGGGCATATCTGTTTACCAAAGGGTTGAATCGGGGAAGAATGGACTACATATGTAGCAAGCTGGGACTATATGACATATACTTACCAGATTGAGGGGGAGTGTTAGAGCTGATTGTACAAGGGTAGTATAGTCCTTTTAAGTTTAGTTATATATGTATTGTTCAGCTGATGTGGCTCTCACTTGAGTGAGGGCACAATAGTAATTCTTGTATACCTTGAAAGAGTAAAAATAAAAGAAGGGACGACTAGAGGGATTTGAATTTTTCTCCCTAGTTCGGCTGTGACCTTTTCTCCTTCTTCTTCTCCTTCTTCTTCTTCTCTCTCTCTTCTCCTTCTCTTTCTTCCGATCTGAACTTATACGAACATCTAGTTTGAGTTTTATCACCTTAAAAATCAGATAAAAGAACTGAGCCCAAGACAATCACTCCCTAACCACCCCTTGCCCACAAGAGTAGGTGAAAACACTTGCTCCTTAAAACAACTGAGCCCAAAATAATTGCTCCCTTACAACCCCTTGCCTTGCTAGAGAATCTTCCATCCCATTAGCAGCCCATGGAACCCACTGAACAGTTACTGTTACACCTCTTAGATGTCGCTTGATCTTCTTTACCAAATCTCGGTCCAGGCTGCCTTCTTTTCATTTTTTTAACCTACTACTACTTGGGAATCTCCTTCTACTAACAGCTTTCTTAAATTAAGTTTTTCTGCTAATTGGACCCCATACAACACAGCAGACACTTAAGCTTTAGTTGAATCTCCTTGAGCGATAGGACCCGGGAATAAAGCTAAAATAGTTCCATCTTTATCCCTGAACACTCCTATTCCTGAAGGCCCTGGGTTACCTAAACAGCTCCCATCAAAATTGAGTTTTGTAAAGCTTTCCGATGGTAGCTCCTAAATCTGAACTATTCTAGTCTTTCTTGTAGATGAAAAGGCCACTTCTTTCCAATTCGGCAATTCCTTTTTTATATTATCAAAGGAGAATGGTGAGAACAAGTCCAAGGACCTAACCCAATGAATCACCCTTAGGATACAATCTAAGATTGCATCCAAATTTCTCTCCTCATCCTTGAAGAGTCTTGCATTTCTTTCTTTCCAAACAGTCCAAACAACATCAGCCCAAGTGCATGATGTACATCTCCACATGCAAACAGACTAGGTAAGCTTGTAGGTAGAGTCCACCTGCACTTGAAGAGGTCAAAGAACCACTCCAAAAGAGAGGTTACAAATGGACAAGGAATTAGAATGTGATAAGTAGTCTCACCATTTGCCTTACAAAGTGTACACCAGTTAGGGGATAAACAAACATTTTTCCTTCTCTTTCGAAGCATGCCCAAAGTGTTGATTTTTCCATGAAAGACCTCCCAACAAAAAGTCTCTGTTTTTAAGGGAACTGGTTTGCACCAAACCTCACTCACTAGAAAGGAAGACCCTAAAGGAGCTTGAGCACCAAACCTCACTCACATTCAGCCTCTCTTAAACCTCTTCTGAAACCCAAATTTCAACCCACTCCCTCAGAAACGGAGTAGAAAGAAGAAATAGGCTCATTTTTAAACAAAGACAATGAATAAGGAGAGGAGAAAGCATCTTTAAGAGTAGAATCACCCACCCAGAGGTCCTCCCAAAACCAAATTTTAGACCTTGAATCATGCCTGACTTGCTCGAGGGAGCAAGGAAGAACTGCATGAATAGCTTTCCAAGGAGAGGAAAAAGTAGCTTTGTTTAAGATTCCAGCATCCCAACCATTTTGCAACAATCCATGTAGGCTAGCTATTACCTTGTGCCATAGTTTCTCACTCTCCAAGGGGAATCTCGACAACCATTTCCTTAGCAATGCTTGATTCTTACATATCGCATTCCCCATCTCTAACCCACCTTCTTCCTTACGCCTGCTCACTATTTCCCACTTCGCCAGACAATCCTTCTTTTCCTCTCCAGGTTCCCAAAGAAAGTTCCTCATTACCTTTTCCAGCAAGTTAGTCACTTTTTGGGAATCTTAATGACAGAGCGGTAATACATCGAAAAATTCGCCAAGGTAGACTTGATCAAGGTTAATCTACCACCTAAAGAGATGTAATTCCATTTCCCAGTTACTAATCTTTTCTACAACCGGAGTCCAAAAATTCATACTCCTCACAGACTTTCCCCCAAAGGCAGACCTAGATACTTCAAAGGCCACTCACTAGTTTGACAACCTAAGGTCTCCACGATTGCTTCTACCTCCCCCTCAACTAAGTTTACCCCTTCTAAACAACTTTTTTGGAGGTTAATCTTCAAGCTAGAAATCTTTTTGAAGAAGTTTAGCAACAGCCTTAGCCTTCTTACCTATTGAAGATTGAACTCATCAGAAAGTATCATTGTATCATCTGCAAACTATAAATGAGTGACCACCACAACATTTCTTCCCATTCTCCACCCTCACCCTCTCAATAGACCTTCCCAATCAGCTTTGGAAATCAATCTACTAAGGATGGCTACTGGGTTCTCTACCTCGACCAGAATTCTTGCAATATCTAATTTCTCCCACATTCTGTTGCGGTCGTCAAACTTTAGGAATTTTCCCCAGGCTGCAGCCACTTCTTTTACTTGTTCCCCTTTTAAAACCTCCTCTGTGAATTCCTTCGAATGAAACACGAACAACCATAGGTCCACATTCAATTTCCTCACCTTTAACACCTTCTCTCTTCCCCATTCTAGTTTCGCGAAGGCCTTAAACTCCCTTGCATCCATCTCCTTCCCTACCACCCTTCCCACAAAGCTTGCATGCAAGACCTTCATCCACTCCTCCATCTTTCGTGTCTCCTGATGCCCCTCTTTGTTTTCCAGGTTTTCCCATGTTTCAGAAAACTTAGAATTTTCAAGGTGACAATGGTGACATGGTTCTAGTGTTCACCATGAAAAGAAGGGATTTCCTCCTTTCTAAACCAAATCATCTTATTCAAATGAACTTGTTTGTTCATTAGGGATACCCATGAGTTCCTACACATGAACTTGTTTTTATTGATGATCTTCTTAGCCTTGCCGTTTGTTCATTACTTTATCCGACAATTCCAATATAAACCACTAAGTGGTATGAGAAGCTATAGGGTACCCACTTGAAAATTATGATAGGCTCGGCGTTTTCTGCATCAATAAAGCAATAACCCAATGGAAGCGAGACCCCTGAAACCAACAAGAAAAGACAAAGGAGCTAAACCAGAACAGTAGGAATCCAATACATTTCTCTTCCCCCCACTCTAGTCCTAGCCAATCCAAACTCCAAAATAGTAGGAATCCACGTGAGCAAGCTTTTCAGTGGAAACCAAATATCTTGCCTCTCTGAGATGATGGAACAGTATGCAACAGACAGGAATTATGAAAATCCCCAAGCATCCAAACCAATGACTATCTACAAGTCTCTCGCAACCTCCACTCTTCAATAACCAAGGAATACAAGATTTTAAAATCATTGATAAGAACAAGAATCTCAAACAAATAATTGTCAATGAGGCCATGTCCAACAAGACCAGAATACACCATAATGATATTCCTGAATGATCACTGTATGCTCCTCCAAAACCAGATAGTTATGGGTTCCCAAAAGTGCAGCCATAACAAATGAAAGCTTTACCAGTTCATAGTCTGAATGTAAATGGGTAGTAGAAGATGGTTGAATTGCATCATTATTTACATTACACATATTCCTATTGCTATGAAATATTTGTGCTCAAAAGACTGTAGTCGAAATTATTTTTGAGTAATTTGGTAAAACCACAAAGATATCAAATTAACTATGTCATATAAAACAAGGAAATGCAAGAACAACACAGACCTCCAAGATGAGCAATTAGCAGTGGTAAAGCAGGCAACAAGGCCTTTGTTTGTTCTGGTTCTCCTGCTGCTATGTTTGTAAGGCACCAGGCTGCCTCAAGCAACTGTAATATGAGAAATATTAACAAAAGCATATATTAGGATATCTTCCCAGGCATCAATAACTTAAAACAGTATAGCAAAATAAAAGACCTAAATAGAGACAAGAAAACAGTAAGAAAAAAAAAAGGCAGAGTTGATATCCTAAAAAACAAAAGACCTAAATAGAGACATAAAGTAGGGTATTTTCAAAATTATTTGAAAAGTTCATTTCATAAAGAGGAAAAAAAGGACGGAGTTGACATCCTGTTGTTATGCAAGCATGACCTGTTCAAAAGCTAAGACACTAAATAATAGGCAATCTACAATACTAGTCACTGGACCTGTTCATCTGGTGGTCCAAATGAAAGGCACTGAACAAGAGCAGGTACTGCTCCAGCTTTAAGTGCTGCTTCAACAGGAGGCAATTCAGAATTTGATAACAAGCGTCTTAACTCCCGAAGGGCCTCCACTTTCTTCTGCATTGCACCTTTTCCCCTAATAATTCACAATGACAATGATGTGATCTGAAATCATTACTAAAGCTATGATGGCGGGGGGGATACATGGAAAGCATATACACAATGAATCATTATAACCTTCATCAAATTTTTTGATAGTAAATAGAAAATTTTGTTAAAAAGAAAAAATAAGTAAAAGAGAAATACCTTGTCAAGATTAACTAAATACCGTAACACTCATATGCTCTAGATACATACCATGACAATAGAAAAACTGAAACATGCTTATGACAAAGATCTATCAGTGTTGTAAGATTTTTGTTATTCAGGGGTCACCTTTTACTTTGGAAGGTGACAGTTGTTTCTTATGGTTTTATCTAATGAAAGTTACCGTTTCCTATAAAAAAAATGAATTGGCACACTGAATGGATGAGGAAAAACAATTAAACTGATAGATCTTTTTTTTTTTTTTTGAGAAAGGTAAAGTATAATGTATTGATATCAAAAAGTGTGTGGTCCTCTGTACAATGATAGCTTTCATCAAAGGGAACAAAAAGAATGAATCAGGATGTTTGTTTGAAATGTAACCCCATTCCTTCAAGTGTGAGAGGGTGCCTATGGAGTAGGAACTGATAGAAGGAAACTTCACAAGGGTTAAGCTGATTTCTATACTTCAAGATTTCCAGCCTGGTTTTGCCTTTTGCCTACGTCATTAGAAAGATTAGATCTTTTGCATCCAAACTGGATATCTCATTCGGTTGGATCCCAAGATCAGCCAATGCTTTAATCAATAGTCTTGCAAGAGGCAAAGTGTCAAAACATGGAGGTGTGATTGCAAGGCATTCCACTATCCTAAGGCATGAGGCATAAGCAGAAAGCACAAGGTGTAAGCCTCTTAAGCATAGTTTTTTAATTAATAAATAATTGAAAATAAGGTAAAATAAATAATATAAAGTAAACATCCCAGAAAAAAAGAAATTTTCATATTTGCAATTTCTAATAATAAAACCATCACATTTAAATATGGAATTGAATTTTCATTGCATGAAACCATCATCATCCACAATTATGTAAGTATCATCAGCCATCAATACTTCACTTACAAAGTTGATAATCAAAATTCTGGAATTAACAATTTACATAAATTGTACACCATTAACATAAACATGTATCATCTCATATTCAAATTAATGTGATGCATTAAAAGAAATAAAAGTAATGGTTTCCCCGCTTCAATTTCTAACATTTTATTGTAACATTACAAATTTACAACAAACAAATTTGAAGGGTTTTTGTCCTTTGAATTATGTTAATATTTGATGGGGAACACAATAAAATGCCCCACTTTTATATGTATTATTTTTATATTATAAAAAAAAAAAATAGATTGAAAGGTAAAAACATATGAGACATAAGCCTCCTGTATAAAGCACAGTAGAGGTGTGCATCTCATATGCCTCTATACTGGAGGCATATGCCTCTATTGTGCATTTCTGAGCATTTTCTTAATAGAGGCATATGCCTCCAGTGCCTTTTAAAACAGTGATTGTAATATGCCTTAGATTATGTTTGTCGGTCAGTGTACACTGTACAGAGCCATTTCTTCCCCACTATCCAGATTGAAATTAGGGGTGTACCTTACATTTTGTTTCACGTCTTAATAAATCTTCTTTGATCTAGATGCTGGTAAAAAGAAAGCAATATCAGTTTCACAGACCTAAGTCATCCAATATGTAGTTGGAGAAACCAATCCCAAAATACCCATTCTTCAAGTTTGGTTTCCCTCCCAATAGGATTATTTACAACCCTGCAGAGATAAAATTCATATTGTTTTTCTCCCAATAATATCCAGATTCCAAATTATCCTCCATTGTCACAAAAGTTAAGTTGTTGTGAGTTGTTAAAATACAACTGCCACTAAATAGCTATGACAGGCATTACAAAAAGGAACCCAGCCCAACTAAAGCCTAATCCCAACTAATTGTTGAAGCCAACTATTCATTACAAAATGACATTAATTAACAAAATGGGGAAGAATGGAGAAAATGTTGTTTGGTAGGTGAATGAAGGTGGGTAAGGAAATACTGGTATAAAATAGCAGATTTTAAATCTTCTACAGCACGAGAAGTTAAAGCATCCAAAGCTGCATCCTCTTCGCTAGTCACCATATCTTTAACCAAAGAAATGTCATTATCATCAACAACGCCATCTCTGCAAAGACGCTTGGCGCGTACTAATGCTCCTCTTCTTTCTTTGCCAACTGTAACCGCATACTGTCGTCTTCGATGCGCCGCTACATTTCCAACTGGAATGAAGGGGTACGTAGTTAGACTAGATTTCGCTTTTTAACTGAAACATAATAATAATTTCGACTTGTATGCTTAGGCAAAATGTTTTCTATTGAACATAGCAGTTCGATACATGGTTCCTTGATGAACTCAGTATCATTCATATAGCTTCTTCTTTCCATTAATAACTAAACCTTGAACTTCGACTCGAGAAACTTACAAAGAGTTATCATAAAACCGGGGGAAAAACTTCAAACTTCGAATTTCGGATTTTCTTTTCATTACTTTCGCGATCTTAAGATTCTAATCCATTCAAATCACAGTGAATTGGCTTGACTACAAATGTCATTATAACTACGATTAGCGTCTAAAAGAAACAATCACAGCGAGCGACTAAACTCAAAAAGTTAAAACCATTCCGGGGAGATAACGAGGCTTATATTCAAAAGAAACAGCAAATTGATCGAAAGAAGTCAAGTTTACATGCCTGAAGACTTGATAGGGTCTCTTCTATGCGAAGGCAAACTTTCATCCGCCATTTTCGATCACCAAAGATATCTCGGACTCTCTTTATGTGCTTCCGCGGTTTTCGATCTTAGGGAACAAACACAATGCAATGCTTAAGAATCAGAGAAACCTTGCTCTTAACCCAAAAACGAAAAAGAAACTTCTACGGATATTCTTACACTGTTTAAGATCCTCTTACAAGCGACAACCGATGTCTCTCGCCGACGGACGAAAACCCGCTGCTTTGATGTCTAACAAGTCAGGTAATAAAGGAGACTGATGTGCATAGGAGTATAGAAATAGAACTGAAAATACAAATAAATAAATATAAATAAATAAGGCACAAAATTTAGGGAAAAAGACGTAAAGGAGATTTTTCTCAAAATATCAGCTGGCGCCTGGCGGTTTAGGGAATTTTTTTTTTTTCGTTCCAAAACCAGTCTAATTTTTAATATTTTTAAGAAAGATAAGCTGCTTTTTATTTTTTTAATGAAAAAAAAATCCGGGGTTACCCCGGTCCGGATATTGCCTTCGTTCTATGTTATGCAATGTAAATGGATCCGGGGTTAATCCGGTAACCCGCCCCCTGGTTGTAGCTGAATACAGCTAAATGAGTTTTGCTATGCTTCTAATTCGGGTTTAAGCAGTTTTGAATATTAAATAGTGATGGTGTGCGATTTGGTGCTCCCTACTGGCTGATAGTATAGACGCTGAATTAAGTAGGTCGTCTTGTTGAGCTGTAAGAAGGAATTGATTTGAATGTTTGTATTGCTTTATTCAAGGTGGGCACTCTGATGCTTAAGTTAACAAGCTGATAATATGATTGCAATAATGCAGGAGTTAAGAGTGTTTAGGAGCTAAATTCCATGTACCTTATGAGATTGAAGGTAAGCTGCCATGAGCCCGAAGTAGATGGGGTGATAACCAACTCTTCCGACATGACGTTGTGATCCGGGAAAGTCGGAAGCGATAGCCTGCTTTAAGGGGGAGGTTGCTCGGCACATTAGGCAAGCCGCTAACTAAGGTCAAGTCAGATTGGTGGAAATATGCCGCCTCTTACACTAGCCTGAGGTCTTGCCTGGTTGTTCGTAGTCCGATCTACCAAAGTGGTGTTGAGGTCATAAAAGGTGGTTGTGAAGTATTCGAAGTGTTCCTGGAGTCTGTTTACACTCTCCTCTTCTATAATACCACATGTTATATCATTGGAGGACCTAATTATCCATCATCAAATACGTTTTGAGTGTTTTATGTGACCTTAAGGGCTGTAAATGAACTTCAAAAATCCAAAATCTGATTCGGCGTCAAATCCAATTATATTATAATTGATTAAAATATATAAATTCATAAATTATATATTATAGATGTAAGTTAAAAAAATAATTAACGTTTTTATTATTTTCTTGTGATTAGATTAAGTCTGAATGGGATATGATTCAAATCTGATAAGGATTCCAATATTGCTTGCTGAATCCGACCCGAATTTGATCAGTCCACAGCCCGACTCCCAAACAGGCCTAAAATGATTGGCAGGGCTATCACAGTTCACAGGGACATTACAACCGAAGTTCCTTGATGAAAAGAAATAAGAAAATACCACCGTGCCCTCTATAAAATGATAAGAATGCATCTAAATCAACTTGTCACGCCTTCCTTTATTGTAGAAAACTCCACTGGTTTTGCTTCATGAATTAACAGCTGAAAATCTGGAAATCTGGAGTGCTGGATAGAAAGAAATAAATCGATGGTCCAGTGTTTGCTTTTGGTGTAAATGAGAATTACTGGGGTAAATTTTACACCTGGTTTGATTTTATTCCTATTTATTTTCAATGTAAATTTTACATAAAAATTCGATGTAAATCCTATTCATAGTGGAGTTTTACATCAATAAATTTTATGTAATTTTTTCCATGCAATGGCATACCTTTTTCACTTTACAGCGGTTCACTATTTAAACCGATCAATCTACTTTTACATTGATAAAAACTTCACAAAAAATAAATAAATAAATGCAGTCTATTGCTATTAAGTTGCTAATGGAGATTTGTCAGCAGGGCTTAAGCGCAGCAGCTTCTGGCTTTCCAAGATGGGCCCTATATAAACAGCCTTTCAGCCATATTCAGTGAAAAATCCAGAACCCAAAAATCAGTTTGGAGCACAATTTTGTGAGAACTGAATCCACCCTCGAGATTTGGAAACCAGGTCAAGGAAGCTTTTTTTTTTTGTCATGGATGAAAGGTATGAAGCTTTCCAAGATAGCCTGTCCACTTAAGGCGACAGCGGCTCTCCATGGATTCTTTTTAGCCAAAGAGATCAACGTTAAAACTATCATTGTGAGGTTGACACATTTCATTCCCATAAAGTACGAGTAACAGAATAACTTTCTCTGAACTAAGTATATTTGCCTCATCACATGCTAACAAATTTCACTTGTTCTTCCAACTTAAATAAATAACTCACTGCGATTTAGACAACCTTCCCCAACTTCGAAAAGCCATACCTTTTCTATTCTATCGATAAGAGAAAGGAAATTTTCATAGAGTATAGAGCTTACGTGATATGGGGAGCTCCTAGAACATGGAATTCTGGTTGTAGGGGTCCCGCCTGAACCTGGGTTGGGATCGAATCACACTCACACCCGTGAAGAATTCCCTATCAGCGCCCCACAGCCCATCCCAGCCGTGTATTGAAAGCATCTCCCATAACAAATACAGAAAATATTCCAAATGCACGCTGAGATGTGCATGTGGGACGCCAATCTGATCCCGCGGATGAAGAGGGCATGGCCCATAAGACAGCAAGCCCTACACAAGGTGAGCAGCTCAAGGTTGAACCGTTGAAGTCTCTGGTTTTTTATCAACAGTCTAGTAGTATGATTTGCTACTTATGCTTCTTAATGGAAGGTTGAAGTCTCTGGTACTTTATCAACAATCTAGTAGTATGATTTGCTACTTATGCTTCTTAATGGAAGAGGGCAAAAGCTTGGCCTACGGCGGGTAATAACATAAAAGAACACTTGACAGCCTGATAAGCCAGCAGAGGTGTATTGGACTGTATCAGGGCTTGCTCTCCTTTTTATTTTTAATTTTTTTAAACCTGATTAAAAAAAATAGGTTTAAGGCCCGTTTATCTCCTAAATCAAGTTAAACACCGAAACACCCCATGTAAAGATGTATCGTGAAGTCTCCATTAGGATTATCTAAATTTTAAACTTTGGAGTAAACCAGGGCCATTCAATAATCAACATCACAATTTTGCTGGACATGTTGCCATCAGAAGCTGAGGAACTCCTTTTCAGTACCAACGGTCCAATATCCAGTTTCGCAATGCAAGTCAAGGTTCGGATGTTTCGTTTCTGGTGAGCATCTTCGTTGCAGTCTTTTCCGTGGCCCGAAATAGAACCAAGGTAAAGCTTGACATAGGCAGCTTACAGCTATCATTTGAAGGTGTGGACCCTTGCAATGTCTAAGTCGTCACTGTGGTAAACAAGAGGGTGACATAGACTACCAATTAATATACGAAGCGAACTCTTTATCCCGGCAACCAAATGTTTTTGAACTTCACATCTAGGAAACAAGATCACAATCATAGACAGCAAAGCCGACCTCAAATCTAACCATCAAGATGCTGGACTTTATTTCTAATACTGCAACTTGACAACCACAGTTTGGCATATTCCTGTGGAAGTATTTGCATGAAAACAGTTGGCAACGGTGCCCCTATATAGATTTATAGGACATTAGTCCTGCACATTAAAGTATTTTTTATTCATTAGATGAAAATAATTAAAGTTCAAAGTTCACATACATTGCCCCATGTAGTTGGTAATCCAACTAGAATTAAAAAATAAATAAAAACTGGAATCAACCCATAGCATCCAATGATTGGAGTTCAAAATATACCCTCTTCTAACACATGGATACATGGCCCCTTAAAGCAGCTCGGCTCATATATGTCCAATGGTACTCTGAACAAATAACCGCTTGAGAGAGATCAAAAACAGGTGAGGTGATCAACACACACCAGAAATAGCATTCAGGTCCATTAGTTTGGCAGGGAAAAACTTTGGCCGTTGGGGGTAGGCTGTTGAGAGAGTTCTTGAGAATGCCGCGATACCATGAGAGTGGGTAAATTAGTAATTGCCCCTTAATATATTTTGACCAAAAACAAAAACATGGGCATGAATAGGTGAACTGCCATGAACATGCCCAGCCCAAAAACTGTCAACAGCATAGGTGCTGTTGACCCCCAACAGAAAAAGTTATTCCAGTTTGGTAGTAAGTCATTTACTTGGGTAATGCATTTACCTGGGCAAGTATTACCTTGGAAAATGGTACCCATCCAAGTATATTTACCCATGTTTCTTTTTCCATATGGTAAGTGAGTGAATTTCCTAAAGGATCCCTAATTTTTTTATTCTGGTTTTTTTTACCAATATTTTTTTTTATTCTGGTTAGGACATTTTAGTCCTACAATTTGGACAATTTCCCCCCTCCATGGATAAATAACTTACCCACCTCCCAGGTTGGTAAAATTTTCCCAAATACATTGCCAAAAACTTGCCTAAGGGAAAACTTTATTTCTATGAGACCCACATTTCACTAGTAAAAGAACATGGTTTCCCATTAACCAACTCCCCCGCCCCCCAAAACGTGCAGGGCCTTCTATCAAAGTTGCAGCATATAGAAACTGACCTTTACTATTTTGTCTTGTAGTGAAAATTCAATGTTATCATTGAAGATTGAAATTTCAACATTTAGGGCCAACAAACCAATAGCCAAGTGCAAGTATAGAACAGAAATAACAAGAATTGATAGTTACCAAAAAAAAACAAAACAAGAATGATGGAATTTAGTCTTTACTTCTTTTTGTTATGCCTCAATAGAGAGTTCAATATTCATAAAAGTAACCCCAGGAGTCCCAAACACATATTAAAAGCATTTCTTCAGAAGCTGAGAATCAACGTGAAGTAATCCATGATCTCTAGGCTAAACGGAAACTAAGGTACATCACGTTTTCAAAGCACTAGGTATCTAGCCAGAGTTACCATGATCCTTCAGCACCCTTTGTTGGATTCTGGAAAGCAGAGAAACCCCAGAAAGTCTTCAGTGAATAAGGCTGAGAAATAGTCACCCCTTCTTCAGTGATCTTTGCTATCTGCAATTCCCAAGCTTTCAATGTATTAGATATAAAAAACATAACAAAATATTAACCCGAGTATTTAACATTAATTTTTTGGAGGGGGTGTGGAGAAAATGGTAACACATTAGAATAAAAATATAGCAAGATGCCCACTTGTCAGAGAACTATTTAAAATGAAAAAACGAACTTCCTTTTTTATCAGTAACCAACCATTTTATTAAATATAAAAAAATGAAGTTCATTTTTTTAAAAGGTAAGATAAAAAATGAAATTCATTCTAAAAAATTTAAAGACAAATAACAGATATAAGCAATTATAGGTCATCCTTTCAATGCATCAAATCGAGCAAATGTGCCTCTATCTCCTCACGTTCACATCTCCAACACCCAACTCCCAATCCTTGCCACTTTGCCATTGATAAACCTTAGTAGTAATACCATACTATGCAATTAGGAAAGAATCCCTGAACGAGTTTCCCAATTCTCATCCACATATACACATGAAGGGAAACATGCTAGAAAGAAGTTTACAACTGAAAACCTAAATATTGACCAACTAAGATTCACCAGTAGCAAAATCTAAGTCAATGAGAAACCAGTGCCAAAAGAGCAGTCTACATCCTCAGAGCCAGGGTGTGCAAACAACAATTCCATCAAATGAACAAATGCTAGAAAGAATTCTTCTACTATTAAATTGGTTCCTTGAAAATTCCTCTTTTTCTCACCTCCATATGCCACAACAGACCGCAAATAGAATCATAGCCCAAACCATTTTTTGTTTTGTTTTTTTCCCAGCTAGCAGTTTCAAGGCAAGAGGAGAAAACTTTGTATGGTTGTTATGGATTGAGCTTAGATCTTATATGATAAAAAGAAAAGAGACCAAATAAAATTCACCACATGACACTGGATGAACAGATGAACCACATCTTCCTTGCATCTCTTGCATTTGATGCACAGGCTTGTTAGATGATAACCTCTTGATTTCAAATGGTTAACTGGCAAAAATACCAACCAAAGACAGAAACCATGCAAAGGCCTCCAACCTCAGTGGGACTACTAGCTACTCATCCATGCAAACAACATTCTACAGTAGACAATTAAAACTGCATACCTACCTACCTATCTATCAATCTATATTCTGCTGTGACCACATGCACATTAGTAAGAATTTTCTCCTTACTATCATACATTACCTTTGCTTTTGACTAATAAATTCTGTTCGATCTTGCTATTGATAAAAAATACAGTAGATAGAGAGATGAGTGAAGAGCAATGCATATCTCGTAATCAGCTAACAAGGAGGAAGCAGTACTTCTACAGAGGTGGGGCTAAGAGCTAACTTTTTCCTTTTTTGATAATATGATTCGAGACCTAATTTCATTGCACCATCTTTTTTTGGTAATTTAAGGAATTTTATTAGAATTCCTTATTGCACGATCATCAGCCACAAATGAAGCACGAGGATTTAGAAAACAATGATTGAATACATTTAGAGCAAAGGAGTTACAAAAGTGATCCAAGTACATGCACCACCAATAATTTGAAAAAATAAAAAAGCATGTAGCAGACATTGAGATCCAGCTTGTCTATCAACTAAAGAGACCAAACTTTAGCATAGTTACAATCTTGAATGTTCTGAAAATTGTAGTCGTTAATCAAATCTTAAATCAGGATAACATTTCTGTTTTTATTAAACACACACACACTTACTTGCATGCTATATATGTATATATACCCATATATGGGGTAAGCTAGAAACTTAAGATGATACCACTTGCACAACTCATGAATCCTGTTTACCACATGCACGCTGGAAACTTAAAGATGATACTTTCAAGTTTGACTTGAAGGTCAAACCCATATATAATGACTCTTTAACCTACATATGATGCAAAATAAACTTAATAATGTTTCTAAGAAGCAGTGGTCATTACTGAAATGAAAAACAGAAAACATAAAAAAACAGTATATAGGACCAATAAAATCAGTGAGGATAGTCTAGAATGTACTTTGAGAGGTTAAGAACTATCAGACAATTAAAAGTGTTGCCTAAAGAAATATATAACATTCAGGAGAACAAAGGGTAAAAAGCACTGGTTACAAATGGAAATAAACACCATACCTGAAGCTTGTTAACAGCAGATCTATCACGATACAAGAGAACACGCATGCATTTCTCTAGCAATTTAACACCATCTTCAAAACTCAAGTTTTCATGCCATTCTTTACGGAGGATTGGCCTTGCAAGGTGATTCCCAAATCCAGTTGCTATATGATTGTCCTCAAAATGTACACCAATCATACTCACCTGCACATATCCATGTAATGCATGGACTATACATGTTATTGACCAAAGGAGAAGACATAGCTAAAAGTAGAATGAAAGTACATATGCAAGAAAATCAATGTAGAATTGGCATTACCGTGCCAAGATACTTCTGTCCATTTTTTACTCCACCAAGAACAAGAGAGTTCCATAAAGGATTAAATTTGTTGCGCCTATTGTACATAACCCGAGTCAAATAATTGTGCACCTCCTTAGGGCCCAAAGAGTTCCCATCATCCCACATATTATCATACAAGCTGCAAAGGTAAAATTCCCAAAACCACCATCACTTAGTATAATAAAATTTTGGAACTACTACACCCAACAGCTGGCAGGAATAGCAACAAATGGAGAACAGAAAACTTCAATATGCACCCCAGGACCCAGGCCATGTGGGAGCATATATGGAGACAGAAAAGGCACTAAAACATCATGACTAATTGTTACATGCTTACATAAGCTCATCAAGATAACGTAAGATCTCTTGGAAATCACTTATTTCTCCACTTGCACCAATAAGGGAATGTTTTCCAATGGGTTTCAAACGCTCCACACTCTTGTAACGGAGGGTAGATCCATAGGAACCTGTCAATCCGTTCATAAATCAATATCATGAAAAATGAATATAGACAATACTCTTGTGAAATGTATAAAGACAATTATGAGATGCAAGTATGTGGGATCACCTTGAATATTTAAAAGGTTATCAACTCCAAATAGTTTCCAAAGGGCACAGTAGGAATGAACTTAAATCTGCTAAGGTGTACATGTGTGTGTATGCCTGTATATCTTATACCATATGAAGTTTTAGAATACTCCTAACTATCAAGGTTACTTGTAAGTTATCCAGTTATACAACCACAGATTCGATGACTTGTTAGCAGGAAAACATAGAAAAAGTGAGATTGTAAGGCCAAGATTGCAGTCACCTCTGTTAGCTGCATGGATAACTTCATTGAGTTTACTGTACTGGTTTTTTTTTTTTTTTAAGGTAAAGAAAATTTTATTTCATCAGGATCAGATTACAGAATACAAGGGCCCCAAAACCATAAAACCTGGGGCCAAGAAGCCAGAAAAATTACAGAAAGAGGCTGCCAGCAACCAGCTGAGCTCCCAAAACCCTCGGTTGAACCCCTAAAGCTACAGAATTCCAAGAAATTAGTTTTCCAACAATACATAACAGTTGATCCACATTGTTGTGCTTGTCCTGGAAAATTCTTTTGATTCTTTCCGCCCAAATGGTGCTAATCACAGCCGCAGGAATTGAGAGCCAGACACTTTTTCCTGACTTAGATAAGCCTCTCTGATCCCAGCACCATAATAGATCCAGAGCAGATGCAAGCATGGCCCAAGATAGCTGTCTTGAGAAGAAGTGATTCCAGATTTTGCTGGAGATAGGACAATGCAGAAATAGGTGGCTGCTGTCCTCCTACCCTTGGTTGCATAACACACAAGAATAATCCTGCAACTGCATACCTCTCCTCTCCAGATTCTTCTTTGTAAGGCACTTATCCAGAGCCACAGCTCAGATCAAAGCATTAAGCTTTGAAGGGAGAATCTGTTTCCAGACTTTATCAGCAGGGAAAGCAGCACCTTGATCAGTTGAAAGGATCCTTGCAAACTAAGAGACAGAAAACAGCCCATGTTTACCCCAAGACCACATATCCAAGAATCTTCTGATAAATCCAGAGATGGAGTAGATAACATCTCTAACAGCCCTGAAACTTGATCTAGTTCCCAGTCCTGGAAATTCCTTCTGAATGATGGGCCCCAAAGACAGATGTTGTTCCTAATCTCGTAGGAGTCAGCAACCAAGACTTCTTGGTTTTCTGCCATTTGGAATAGCTGAGGGAACACCTCGGCAACCAAGGCTTCTTGGTTTTTCACCGAAAGGCCATCACTCAATAATGGGAAGACTTCCATTACTTTCTTCCAAATCGAACACCCAAGAGAGATCAAAGAATTGGTAGTAACCCAGTCCCCATTGTCTGACTATACTTAGCTGCAATTAAACTCCTCCACCAGCTCCCTCTTTCTCTACCAAATTTCCAAATCCATTTTCCCAACAGAGCCTTATTTTCCGGATCCCTAGCCTACCTTTGTCTTTGGGAGTGCAAACTTATCCCAGCTAACCAGGTGAATTTTCTTCTCTTCTTCCCATCCTTTCCATAAAAAATCCCTCTGCAATTTTTCCACTCTTTGGGCTACTTTTCTTGGCATTAGGAAAAGAGACAGAAAATAGAAAGGCAGATTTGATAAATCACTCTTGAGAAGAGTAATTCTTCCCCCCCAAAGTAAGATATTTGATCTTCCAGCCTGCCAGTTTTCTTTCTAACCTCTCCCCCACCAGCTCCCAGATCAGAGGTGAGGTACATTTAGCTCCTAGAGGGAGACCAAGATAAGTGGTTGAAAGGAACAGCAGCTAACGAGTTCTCCCATCTCACGAGGGGTAAGATCTCATTTTCTCCCATCTCACGAGGGGTAGGAACAGCAGCTAACGATTTCGCCTAACCGGAGCTTGTCAACACCAGGAGGAAATTTTCGACAGATGCGCACTTGGCGAAGTCTAAACAGGTTTCGATTGTGACCTGTTCTGACTAACTCTTACTATCGAGGCCTGACTAGGGGTTCCCCTATCCTCAATGACTGGTTTGGAAGGAGCCAAGAGCTAGTTTGGGCCTTCCGTCGACTGAGTCGATCTTCTCTCTATCTAGAACAGACTGGATTATGGTCACTCTGCAATCGGTTCCGAACCAGATGGACTGAGTTCCCAGGGCCCGAGTCAGTGGTGTTCGACCCTTTCTTTTCTAAAGTTGTCCTTTCCCCAAAATCTCCAACTTCTTTTAGTCCTGCCCCTACATTATTTAAACTTTCTCTTATCCTACCCCCACTTATAACTCTAGTTGGCTGAAGGTCCTTAAGGCATTCTAATAAAGTTTCCTTGAACCATTTTTTAGATGGATCTTCTTTCCCCATTTTGAAAATTTGAAAGAGGGGACAACTTCGGGGAACCCGTCCTGTCACACTCCAAGATCGGACAGTTCTCCAGAGTGTTCTTCATCTCCCCCCTGCACAACAACCAAGATGACTGTAGGGGATCCATACTGGTGTTGATCTTCCCCTAGAGCTGTCCATCTTGTCTTGGATTAAAACCACTGCCTCTCCCATCATTGATTCACCCCCTAAAGACCTTTCCCTTTCCACCCTCTCCCTCTTTACTTTCAGGCTCACCTTCAGTCTTTTCTCCTGCCAAAGCCACACCAGGCAAGGAAGGTCACCTGCGACTATTTCTAGCCTCTCCGGAATCATCCCTCCTGCCTTAACTTTCATTCTCACCCATTCGCACGTCTTCAGCTCTTCCACAGAATCATTTGTCCCCAGAAAACCCCCACACAAATTGCCAATCCCTTCAACCACACTCGGGCACCATAGAGGGAGTGGGAACCCGAAGACTCTTAACTAGATCTCCAACCGGTTGTTCGAACTGTTCAATTTTTCCGATAGAAGACTCGTCGCCATTTCCGTCCACCAATCTGTTCCGACCGATACACCAAGGTCCGTTCGAGAGGGCCCACTCTACCTCGTCCTTGGAAGGGAAGATGAATAGGTAGCAATCATTGATCAATTTCTTAACTCTCAACCTTCCCACCGCTCTCCAACTTCTTATCGCCCACATTTCCAACTCTTCTACTAGGATTTTCCAGTCCAAACATCCCACTAGGCACCTTTGCAAGAAGAGCTTTCTCGCCTGTACATCTTTAGTCGTCGTTTCCAGGAATGATCTAGCTCCCGAACTTTTTAAGGAAGTTTCCCCAAAGCTCAGCCAGATGTCAGTTGCAATCGCTTTTTTGAAGCAAGGTTTCTTCTAACTCCTCCACCTACACTAGTTGGGTTATACCAAGCTTCCACCCCCCATCTTCTTCCTCCTATTCCCTTTTTACCACATCTTTAATCCGTTTCCAGGAAAGATCTAGCTCCCTTCCTTTCAATAGATCGCCTAATCAGAACTACTCCAACCTCAATCAATGTTACATGGACTCTTCAAAATGGGTGTTGTATTCATATAAGGCATGTGTAGACATCAAAACAAACATGACACTTAAGGGTAATCTTTTCTTTGTCACATTTGTAATATGTGACTAGGGTACTGGTTTTCAATTTGTTGTATCCAGTCATCCAAATCAAAAGCCAGTACAACAAATACAATAAAGGAAATATATCCTCTTTAATGTTGCCACTTATCCATCTTAAAATCCTCATATGTACCAGGATCATTCTATGGATGTGTTTCTCCTTGATTGCCTAACACTTGGCTCCATACAAACATCAAGTGTTTGCATAGCCATCTTACAAAACTTTACTTCCAATACAATCCCTATTTTCCAATAACACAACACTCAAGATGCACCTCTCCACTCAACTCATTTACCTCACCATAATTATTTGGGAAACATCACCTCCATTCATTCACTCATTATGAATTATCAAACCAAGAGAATAGGAATTATCACCTAAAGGCATCTCTTCATCATCAATCCTAATCGCATTTAACACCCCCTTTGTTCCTTTTCTCCTTGTTCTAATTGTACCCCGTTCCTACTCTTGTCATTGATAACTTTCCCTTTTTATCTGTAATAGAAACTTTATTGATTTTATAAAAAGAATATTTGTTTACAAAGTCATGTCTGAAACAATAAACCCTTCTTTGGTAAACTAGCCCCAGCTATCTACCTCCCATTCAGCCATTACCTTTCAACGTACATTCAATCTCCATGAGAAACCCAACCCCAATACAATTCCTATCTTTGAGCCCCATGCCTAATGCCTAGCATAGGTTTCGTCTAGTCAATTAGATGATCTCATAATCCAATTGAATAATGTTCCTATTTCCCTGGCCAGCTTTATCACCTCTTAGGAAATGCCTATACATCCAAGGTCATCCTTTTTTAATTGGTAGTAGTAATAGATTTGTTGATTGAAGAGAAGGAATAGTATTTACAGGAAATTAAGGTCCTGCATATCAGACTAGTATCTACAACCTAACCCGGTCCATGGTGCCTGCTTTTTTCCATTGACAAGTATTAATTGATGAAACTAAGGATTAAATGCAAAATTAGGTTTCTAAACAACTGCATTATAAACAAGAGACTTTAAAAATAAGGACTAAAACAGAATATATGCATCCAAATTTAAAAACAATAAGAGTGCAAACCACAGTACACTTGGGATTGGAGACCAAGAGATAATTTAATGTAAAGCCTCCCAGTAGGGGCCCTCCAAGGGGGATGCTAGAGCTTTTGTCTCTATGAAAATCATCAGTTGGAATGTGAGGGGGTTGGGGAGTGCTAGGAAAAGAAGGCTAATTAAAGATTTTCTTAGAAGGGAGGCCAGATATTGCGATGTTACAAGAGACCAAATTAGCTGAAATTGATAGAAGATGGGCAAGAAGTATTTGGAAATCTAGAGGAATAGGTTGGGTTTCTGCACCTTCTTGGGCAGCATTGCCACTTTCTGGAGAGAGGACGTTGTGGAGGTATGGAAGAGCTGATAGGTAATTTCTTAGTGTAATTAAAGTTTAGGGTGGT